CCTGGGGGTTCTAATTGACAAGCAGCTGAATATGAGCCAGCAGTGTGCCCAGGTGGCCAAGAAAGCCAATGGCATCCTGGCTTGTATTAGAAATAGTATGACCAGCAGAAGTAGAGGGGTGATTGTCCCCCTGTACTCAGCACTGGTGAGGCCACACCTGGAGTATTGTGTCCAGTTTTGGGCACCTCAATTCAAGAGAGATATCGAGGTGCTGGAGCGAGTACAGAGGAGGGCAATGAAGCTGGTGAAGGGCCTAGAGAATAAATGTAATGAAGAACACTTGAAGGTGTTGGGAATGTTTAGTTTGAGAAAGAGGAGGCTGAGGGGAGACCTCATCAGTCTCTACACCTACCTGAAAGGGCATTGTAAAGAGCTTGGTGCTGGTCTCTTCTCTCAGGTAATTAGTGACAGAACAAGAGGTAATGGCTTTAAGCTGCAACAGGGTAGGTTTAGACTGGACATTAGGAAAAAAAAATTCATAGAAAGAGTGGTTAGACACTGGAATAGGCTGCCCAGGGAGGTGGTTGATCACCATCCCTGGATGTGTTTAAGAGTTGTTTGGATGTGGTGTTGGTGGATATGGTTTAGGGGAGAACTTCGTAGAGTAGGGATGATGGTTGGACTTGGTGATCCCAAGGGTCTTTTCCAACCTGATTCTATGATTCTATTATATTTGTCATAAGCTTGTAATAATTGCGATAACTAACCCTAAACTACAAAAGCAAAAGATCAGGAAAGGAAACAGAATTATAGAAAAGTCACCACCCAGAGTTCCAGCAGTGTCCTGTTGGTCTTGTAGTAGAGGAGGGGGTGGTGGAGGTCCAGTCCTAGGAGGCGTCTTGAGACTGGCACTCTTTTACTCTTCTATGCAGTTAATTCCTTGGATACGCCACAGTGGTCACCCAATCACCATTCCACATTTGTAGCTTCCAACCCGAGTTGTCATAAATTCCATCCTTTGCCAAAGATGACAGCTCGTTTGTAAAGCTCCCCAATTAGCAGTTGCCTGCAGTATTTGCCATACTGCTGACACATTGAGGGGATGGGGGGCTTGCAGTTATTAGTTGAGTAAAACTGGTTTGGTGGGTTGCCCAGATGTCTCTTTGTTCAGGTTCCCTGATGGAGTTGCCTCAATAAACACTGCCAGACACCCTGAGTGTCTGAATACACTGTTTATCTCTTGTGTTGTTTGAGACAAGTACCGTATATCCTGAGTGTCACACCAGCCAACAGCACACAGCCACCCACCCAACCATGCACCACACACACCAGATGAACACACTACTCTTGCCCACCACATACTGCCCACGTGACATCCACCCCACACACTACACCCCTGTGCACACACAATGAACCACATGCACACACCCCATGCTACACACACCTCACATATCTTGTGCACCCCCCTGCCAAAGCAACCTCTCCCATACTGCTATTGCTACTCCTGTGATAATATAAGCTATATTGTTGGATAGACTTAGAGTTGGTTTGCACAGTTCTGCTGGTTTACCCATCTTTGGATATATCTTACGTTATAGCTCTGTAAAATATCTTTGGTGCATTTATAAATGAGTTATAGTATCTTTTTTTCCCATAAAAATACTTGTGGTTTCCTATGAATTATTTTTGCAGATCCTTCAATTCTGTTGAGCATATGTAAGAATACTGTGAATACTGTGTATGGTTGCTTGTGGGTTTGTTTGTTTGGGATATGGGGGGGTGTTTCTTGATTAACTGCTTATGTCACCAAATAACTTATCAACACCCATGTGATGTAGATAAGCAAACACTTCTTTATTAATGCGTGAAGGATACAGGGGATGACTCCTCCTATTGTATCCTAAGTTGCATTACAATCAACAGTTTTTTAATATATTAAATTTCTGTTGTCCAAAATATTTAACATAAAAATGCATATAATGCTTGCTCTTAATTACTCATTAAGTTTAACCTTTGCATTGATTGGCCCCTTCGAGTTACATAACTTCATACATATTCATTTCTAACAAGAATCATTGGTCATCTACAGTCGTCCTACTAATTATAATCAGGATGGGATGGGGAGAGGGGGTGTTCAAGCAGCAAAACTGATTACTGTGACCTTGGCCACCATGTGATAGCTTCAAGATTTATTACTGTATTATTCCTTCCACGGTAGCTGCTTAACCACAATATTTTATTCTTCATGTAATTCTAGACCTTAGCTACTTGTACGTGTCACTTGTCTAGTACATGTGGTTTCTGTACCTACTGAAGTAAAACATAATCACCCACCCCCTCCCAATATGATTCCTATGTGTACAGTTTCTCTTAAAAGCCTTATCTTGATTAGGCCCGACCAGATCCAGGTCTTCTAAATAATCAAAATTTAGTCAATTCAGTAACACACAGAAAAGTATGGCACTTCAGTTTATTAATTATTTTAATACAGGATGGGATAAGACGTGGCCGACCAAGAGCAGACACAGTTCGTGACCTAATAAATGAAGGAGAGCATTCTTCCAGCAGAATACGTTGCAATATCTGCAACAGGGTGTTCCCACGAGAGAAATCACTACAGGCACACAAACGAACTCATACCGGTAAGTGAAGAGATTAAAAGGAAGATGTGAGTAGCTGACAAAAATGTATGAGGCAGTTGGGAAGGCAAAAAAATCCCCCTAACTTCAACCTGTTAATATCTTATTGTAATTGTTAAATTAATCATACTTTTTTCCCAGGGCTTGTTAGTGCAGTCAAAGGAAAGTCTTTCTGTAACTGTTTTTGTCACAGGGTAACCATGGCAGTAATTTAGGCTATAATAGTGAAGGCATATAGTGTAAATATTTTATCTGCTGTTGTCAGACTTCCTTAATAAGAGGAAATATTTTTCATGAGCTTGGTGTTCTGTACCTGATGTAGTATTTTTCATTCTGACTACCTCTTCTCTGATTTCTGTTTCCTTCCTCTCATGTGTAGTTTTTACACAGTAACTGAATCATAGACTAATTTAGGTTGGAAAAGACCTATAAGATCATTGAATCCAACTATAAACCTAACACTGCCAAGTCTACCACTAAGCCATGGCCCTAAGCACCACATCTACATGTCTTTTAAACACTTCCAGGGATGATGACTCAACTTCCCTGGGCAGTCTGTTCCAATGCTTGACAACCCTTTCAGTGAAGACATTTTTCCTAATATCCAATCTAAACCTTCCTTGGCACAACTTGAGTCCATTTCCTCTCATCCTATCCCTTGTTGCTTGGGAAAAGAGACTGACACCCACCCCACTGCAACCTCCTTTCAGGTAGTTGTAGAGGGCAATGAGGTCTCCCCTCTGCGTCCTTTTCTTCTGACCAAACAGCCCCAGTTCCCTCAGCCACTCTTCATAAGACTTGTGCTCTGGACCCTTCACCAGCTTTGTTGCCCTTCTTTGGACATACTCCAGCACCTCAATGTCTTCTTTCTGGTGAGGGGCCCAAAACTGAACACAATACTTGAGGTGCGGCCTCGCTAGTGTCGAATACAGCGGGACAATCACTTTCCTGGTCCTGCTGGCCACACTGTTTCTGATATAAGCCAGGATGCTGTTGGCCTTCTTGACCACCTGGGCACAATGCTGGCTCATATTCAGCCAGCTGTAGACCAACACCCCAGGTTCTAAAGCATAGCTGTAAGAGGAAAAAAGTATCTTAAAAAGTAGCTGGTAATTTGAACACTACAATACATTAAAAGTGTATCTTAAATGTTGAGAAAACAGTTAAAATGCTTGGTCAAAAGTCGGTTTAATTTCACTTGCTTGAATTAGATGTTGAACTTGTGTATTAAACATGGACTACTTAATTGAGCAGAACTCACCTTGATGTTACTCTTCTGACTTAATAAATCACCCGTGACACCACCCTGTCCTGGTTTGAGCCAGGATTAAGCCAATTTTCCTTTTACTGATTTTTTTTCCCTTTAGAGGAGTCTTTTTTAACTAGCAGCAAGTTTTCCAGCTAGTGAACTGAAAACACTGGAACATTTATGTTACTGCTGAAACACCAAGTTACTTTGCTCTATTTGTTGAATCTGTGGCTTCAGATGCTATGGGAGCAGAAGAGTCGTATATGCAGCCCTCCCGTAGGGAGGAGTGGACTAGACGGACAGCAAAACTGACCAAAGTATTCCATTCCATATATCTACGTAAGCTCAGTGTAAGGTCAGACATCACGGAAGTCAACTTCCTTCCTGCTTCTTCTTCCCTTCTCTTCCATTCATAGCCAGCATCCAGGGAAGACTGCCTATCCATCACCGTTGATCCCTAGGCTCGTGCGTTCCTGTCCCTCATAACTCTACCCTCAGCTCCTGTCTGCTCTGCCGCTATCTCTAGCAGTGGTCTGAGATTTCAGAACTGCTCACAGCTAAGGAGAGGTCCATGGGAGTTGTTGGGGGTTGGGGGAGGCAATAGGGTTTTGCACATTCCTGAACACATTTGTATATAATTGTACATATTTTATCATTTCATTAGAGTTGTCTACTTTAGTTTTAAATCCAGAAAGTCTCTCTTTCTTTATTCTCTCTCTCCTTCCCCTACCTGGGTGGGAGGGGGAGGGGATCGAGAGCATTATTGTTGCTGGTTTAATTGTCGATCCTGAGTCAAACCCAATCATACTCTCTTGAATGACAGAGAGGAAATGCCCATTATCTCCATTCCTCTTGTTGCAGTTTGCATGGGGAAGTTGTTCTTGATGGTTGTCCTAAATTCTCTTAGCTTGAGTCTTGAATGAGTTTCTCTTCCTACCTTCATTTATTCACTTGCTGATAAGATATTTCTGCAACTTCATACATCCCTATATTGTTAACCTGTTATCACCTGAGGTGTGACCTCATTAATGTTTACAAATATGTAAGGGATGAGTGTCAGGGAGATGGAGTTAGGCTTTTCTCAGTGATGACCAGTGATAGGACAAGGGGTAATGGGTGTAAATTGGAGCATAGGAGGTTCAAGGTGAATATCCGAAAAAAATTTTTTACTGTAAGAGTGACAGAGCACTGGAACAGGCTGCCCAGGGAGGTTGTGGAGTCTCCTTCACTGGAGACATTCAAAACCCACCTGGATGCGTTCCTGTGTGATGTACTCTAGGTGACCCTGCTCTGGCAGGGGGGTTGGACTAGATGATCTTTCGAGGTCCCTTCCAGCCCCTAAGATTCTATGATTCTATGATTCTATTTTACCCTAGTTCAGTTTATATTAATGATAAAATGCATCTGGTTGCAACTGGACAACTGGAATTAATTTGTTTCTTCTACCTATACTATAGCATGCTATCTATACATTATACTTTGTTTTATTCTACCTAACTACAAGCATCCATTCAAGGACATATTTCAGTGCTTTAGGAAAGTTTTCTGTCCAAAAAAAGATTCTTAAACAAACAAAACACTCATGATACTCTCCGAAACACAGGATGCAGTGCTTCTCTTCTCTGGAACTGCCCTTTCTAATACCAAAGATGATGAGCTGCTGCTAACACTGTAGAACTACAAAACTGTAGCTTTCATGGAAACCTGACCACCACTAAGTCAACACATCTGCTATAAGCTCCTGCTGACGCAGAAGTTTTCAAAGGAAAACAGTTTGTAACATTGCTTGCCACAGTCTCACATACCAAAATGAACAGAACTAAGGATGACACCTTGATAAGGAGTCATCTTATTTGCAGTTGATCTGTCTGCCTCACTCAGATTCCAAAAAAATATGTACAGTGATAGGGAGGAACATCCAATCTTTTCATGGAGGAGGAAAAAAGCAAGGCCTGTGATTTCTTTGAACTGCTGCCAGCCCATCCTTTTTATGCCTTCTAGAATTATCTAGTATCTTGTACTCAGCATACCAGAAACTGACTTTAGTATAGATTTGGTTATTCAGCCTGGAGAAGAGGAGGCTCCGAGGTGACCTTATAGCAGCTTTCCAATACCTGAAGGGGGCCTACAAGAAAGCTGGGGTGGGACTTTTTGCACGGGCATGTAGCAGGAGGACAAGCGGCAATAGTTTAAAACTTGAAGAGAGGAGATTTAGATTAGATATCAGGAGGAAATTCTTTACTATGAGGGTGGTAAGGCACTGGAACAGGTTGTCCAGGGAGGTCATGGAATCCCTATCCTTGGCAGTATTCAAGGCCAGGCTGGATGGAGCTCTAAGCAATCTGATCTAGTGGGAGGTGTCCCTGCCCACACAGGGGGGTTGGATCTAGATGATCTTTAAGGTCACTTCCAACCCAAACCATTCTATGATTCTGTGATATTTTTTTTAATAAGGTGTAAAATTAGGTATACGATAATGCAAAAGTATAATTTTGTTATTTTACTGGGGAAAAAAATGTATTGTCCAGTAACATTAAATACATACTTTAAACATCCATTTGGGGTAAAAATTTATCTCTGCTGTCCAGTGAACTAAGGCTTTCTGAGTAGATGTGTGAGTATATAAAAGGAGAGCTTGCTTGTATAAGTCTCTACACAAGGAACACCACTGGTTAGTCTGACGCTTCTATATTCAGCTTTCATAAATCTGTGTGTGTGGTTGTGGGTTTGGGTTCGGTTTGGGGAAGGGGTTGCTTTTTTGTGGGTTATTTTGGGTTTTTTTGGGGGATTGTTTTGTTTTGTCTTTAAAGGTGAAAGACCTTATTTGTGTGACTACCCAGACTGTGGGAAAGCCTTTGTTCAGAGTGGGCAACTCAAAACTCACCAGCGTCTTCACACAGGGGAAAAGCCTTTCGTCTGCTCAGAGAATGGTGAGCCCTCAGAGAATAACTTGTGGCTTTCAGAATTAGTGTCAGTCTAATACTGAAAATGTATGGATGCTCATGTGGCAGGAATCTATAAAAGCTTTGGATCTTAATTGTGGAGGAACTTCTAGGAAATGGAGAAGCCACACAGAATCTGTGCATAATCATGCAAACTTAGATATAATGACTGCATGCTTGATTATATAAACCAGGTTGTCAGTAATTGTATCACTTGATATCAATGCATAAAATGATTGGCCATGTTATGGGCCTTGTGACTAGTATGCTATTTTCAACTGAAACCAGGTTTTTGTGGAGTGAGGAAGATTGGATTCAGGAGCATCTAACAGATGTTATGCTAATATGTCAGTTGACTGCTTTCCTTCATGTATTCTCCATTGGTATTTTGTGTTTTTAAGGCTGTTTAAGCAGATTCACACATGCAAACCGTCATTGCCCTGAACACCCATACGCCCGGCTGAAAAGGGAAGAACTCACAGTCAGACTGAGTAAAAAACAGACAGTTGACAATAAAGCTGCAGCTGAGTGGCTAGCAAAGTAAGTTTCCTTATGGTGTGATCTCTCTCTAAACTTAGAGTGGCCTGACAAAGTGTTTTATTCTTAGGGGAAAAAAAAAGAAAAGAAAAACAATAGTAAAAACCCATCTGTTCCTTTAGTATCATTCAACACAGCCTTGCCTTTTAAGTGCTGACTCCTGGTTAAGACAAAGTTCCTCATAAGGCTTTCTCATCTGTTTTTCCTTCTCTACTTAAATGTTTCTCTTTGCTTGAACAACACTTGCTAATACCATGTTGGTTAGTGCTGCAGTCATACTGCTGAATTTGTATCTATGTGAGGAACAATCATGAATGCATAGGGAGAGCTGACTGGTAGGAATATCATGTAGCAGAAAGATCTGTGTGAAAGATCAGATATCCTTTGGGCACTTCTGCACTTAAAATGATTAATAAAGGAGGTTTCTGAGAGCTTAAATAGTGCCATAAAAGGGTTGAAAGAAAAAACAAATGCAGTGATTAGTCATGTGGAAAACAATACTAGCTTTGAATGGTAATTCTTACATAAACTGTACATAACTTAAAAGCATTCTCAACCTCTGATGTTGTAGATACTGGGAGACTAGAGAACAGCGTGCTCCCACTTTGAAAAGTAAAACAATCCAGAAAATGGATCAGGAACAGCAGGATCCTATGGGATATCTTCAGTCTGATGAAGAGGATGATGAAGAGAAAAAAGAGGAAAATAGTGCTCATTCAGCTGCTCACCGCCGCCTACAGGAGCAGCGTGAACGCATGCATGGTGCATTGGCTCTTATTGAGCTTGCAAACCTAGCTGTGGCACCACTGTGACAGTAGCATAGAAATGGAGTCTGCCTTTACAAAATGGTGGTACTTGGTGGTCCTTAACCAGTTAGATCCTAGGCATACTCTAAGCACCTTATTTACTTATCATAGGCTGCTGCTCTGTAGAATTTATGAAGAATGTTGTCACCCCATAATATGGGATGAGAGAGTTGCACTTTTTGTAAGGTTAAAGATAAATGTAAAGTATCTTGTAAATATGGAACTGCATAATGCAGGGTGGAGAAACTTCATGTTGTGGAAAGCTAGATTTCTGCAAGGTTAACTCATTTATTTGAAACAGTTTTCACAGGAAGCACTTTCTGAGTACAGTGTTTGGGGTTAGCAGAATGGTATATGTGGCCAAAGAAGGCTGAGAAAAGGAAAAGTATTTATCTCACTTTTTAAGCAGAACTATATTAAGTGGTAGGTCTGAAGATACTGTAAGCAGCAATGGAACCAAGTTTTCAAATGTCTGTATATTTTTACCTATTATCACTAAGGCAGGAGGCAAAGCTTAGATATCTCAGCTCATAGAGGGCAAGAAACTTCTTCATGCTGGAAATTGTAAGATAGTTCAGGATCTTCACTGCAACTGCTCAAGATATGAGACGACTTTGCTATTATATGCTTTTTCATTTGATCTCAGCAGAATCCCTTGGTTTGAGTAGCACTTGTTATTCCTAATGTATGATGTTAGGAACTTTTGCACATTGTTGGATTTATCTGAAAACGATTAGTCTTGCAAAGTCTATACAAAGGTAAACAATTGGTATTTTTTTAATCTATTTTTGGACCCTTTAATGATTTGGCACTTGCTTTTTTTAATAAAAGGGGTATTGACAGGGTGGTATTGATTTGTACTAAACTTAGATCTCCTCCTCCTGGAGGAGTAGCACTCTATGTTAAGGAAAACCTTGAATGTGTAGAAGTCAACTATGGTAATTGTGGTAGCCCTATTGAATGCCTCTGGGTCAAATTGTCCCCAAGGGAGACCTTACAGAAGTCATCTGTTACCGACCCTCAAATCAAGACTACAATGAAGCGATACTCAGGTTGCTCAGGCAAGCTTCAGGTCAACAAAACCCGGTCCTTATGGGAGACTTTAACTACCCAGACATTTACTGGAAGAACAACACTGCAGTTCACCTGACAGCCAGCAAGTTCCTGGAATGTGTAGAAGACTGCTTCCTTGCACAAAAGTTGGATGTGCCAACCAGGAATGAGGCACACCTGGACTTACTACTGGCTAACCAAGAGAACCTGCTCTGTAATATCTCAGTTAGTGACAGACTTGGCTGCAGCAACCACAGTATTGTGAAGTTTGGGATACTGCTGAGCACAATGAAGGTTAATTCCAGGACAAAAGATTTAGATTTTAGAACAGCTAACTTCAGCTCGCTTAGGACTCGGTTGGAAGGGATCCCATGGGAAGCTTCCATGGAAGGTAAAGGAGCTAGTGAGTGCTGGGAGTTTTTCAAGAACACTCTTCTAGATAAGCAAAACCAGTTCATCCCCTCTAAAGGCAAGGGAAATAGGTGGAGCAAGAGACCCCCTTGGCTTAACTGTGAGCTCCTGGGTCTGCTCAGAACCAAAAGGGAAATGTACCAGAGGTGGAAAACTGGAGCATTACCAGTTGAAAATTTCAAGGGCATTGCCAGAGTATGCAAAGATGCAGTTAGGAAAGCAAAAGCTCAGCTTGAGCTGAAATTGGCCAGAGATGTCAAAAACTTCAAGAAAGGGTTCTTCAGATACATTAATAAGCAGAAACAGATTAATAATATTGGCCCACTATTAAACAGGAGAGGTGAACTAGTCACCAACAACGCTGAAAAGGCAGAGGTCCTCAACACCTTCTTCACCTCTGTCTTTACCAGTGCCGTTGGGTCCCAGGCCATAGGAACAAAAATCCAGGTTGATGCAGACACCGATCTGCCATCAGTGAAGGAAGAGTTACTGTGTCAACTATTACAGGAGCTTGACCCATACAAATCAATGGGTCCAGATGCCATCCACCCTAGGGTGTTCAAAGAGCTGGCTGATGTCGTTGCAAAGTCCGTCTCCATAATCTTTGATAAATTGTGGAGATTGGGAGATGTCTCTGAGGACTGGAGGAAAGCTAATGTCACCCCCATCTATAAGAAGGGTCCAAAGGAGGACCCAAGTAATTATAGACCCATTAGTCTCACTTCAGTCCATAGGAAAGTCATGGAGCAAATCCTCCTGAGGACAATCACAAGTCAGTTGCAGCATCACAGGGCAAGCGGTGGACATCATCTACCTGGACTTCTCCAAGGCTTTTGATAAAGTCTCCCACAGCCTCCTCCTGGAGAAACTGACTTGTTATGGCCTTGACAACTGGTCCGTGCAATGGGTGGGGAACTGGCTGACAGACCGTACCCAGAGGGTGACAGTAAATAGTTCCTCCTCAAACTGGCAAAGGGTCACAAGCGGGGTCCCCCAGGGATCAATTTTGGGCCCAATGTTGTTTAACATCTTCATAAGTGACCTGGATGTTGGGATCAAGAGCACCCTGATGAAGTTTGCTGATGACACCAAGATGAGTGGAGAGGTTGACACTCCAGAAGGGAGAGCCACCCTCCAGGATGACCTAGACAGGCTGGAGGAGTGGGCTAGCAGGAACCTTATGAAGTTCAATGGGGAGAAGTGTAAGGACTTGCACCTGAAAACACATAACCCAGGAGCACAGTTCAGACTGGGATCCACCTGGCTGGAGAGCAGCCCTGTGAAAAGGGACCTGGGGGGTCTTGGTGGATAACAGGCTCAACATGAGTGAACAGTGTGCTGCAGTGGCAAAGAAAGCCAACAGGGTACTGGGTTGCATCAACAAGGGCATCACCAGCAGAGATAAAAAATCCATCATCCCACTCTACTCAGCATTTGTCAGACCACACCTGGAGTATTGCATTCAGTTTTGGTCCCCACTATACAAAAAGGATGCAGACAGGCTGGAGAAGGTCCAGAGAAGGACCACAAGAATGCTCAGAGGACTGGAGGGCCTGCCATATGAGGAGAGACTGAGAAAACTGGATTTGTTCAGCCTTGAGAAAAGAAGGCTTAGGGGAGACTTAATTACCATGTTCCAGTACTTAAAGGGTGGCTACCAAGAAGATGGAGACTCCCTATTTACAAGGAGTCACATGGAAAAGACAAGGAGTAATGGGCACAAGTTGCTCCTGTGAAGATTCCGATTGGACACAAGAGGTAAATTTTTCATCATGAAGACAGTCAAACATTGGAACAGTCTCCCAAGGGAAGTGGTGGATTCCCTCGATTTGGACAGTTTTAAGTCTTGACAGGGTGCTGAGCCACCTCATATCAACTAGAGTATCACCTAGAAAGGTTGGACCAGATGATCCTTGAGGTCCCTTCCAACCTGGCATTATATTTTCTATTTTTATTCCTATTAGCAAACAGTAAGTTTTAAAGTATTGCTCTTATATGATTATCAGCAAATTGAAGTCTCCATACTTGCTATGCATAAAGCTGCGTTATTGCTTTTCTTTGGGATAACATGACAATTTTGCATTCACTAACTGTAGCATAGGTATCAATTAAACACAGAAAAAAAGTATTCACTAACCAGAAAATAGGCTTCCAAAGGTAGTTTTCAGTATGTTAACAATGTGATTTCATATATTTCCCAAATAAATGAAGCTACAGAACACTGCCTAGTGCTCTAAGATGTAGATAAAAAGCATTTAGCACTACATCTTGTCATCGCATGAGTATCGTGTACTTTCAGATGTCATTGTCTCATGGTGTTCTCTTTCTGTGTTTTGCTTGGAAAGCAACCAGAGATTCCTAATATGCTACAGAAATTTTGTTTCCAAATTGGTAAACTAGTTGAGCTACTGCTTTAGGGGATGTTAACAATTCATATTTACTGACCTGCTTGTTCTTAATTCCTCCTTCTCAATGAAGTTCAGGAAATTCAGATAAGAATTCAGACTTTCTGTCTTTCTTAAGTAAGAAGAAAAAAATTCAAATTTTTTTTGGTAATTGTTCAATTACTTGATATAGACTGTCTATATGCATACAGCTGTTACAGAAAAAACAGCAATTCTTGGGTTATGTTCTCTGATAATTGATAATTGTTGTGGTAGAAAAATGTATTAACCCAGTTTGTTTAAAATAATGTATTAATGCACCTCAGAAAACTTCAGGTGGAAAACTGCTTTTTGTTTTATTAAAAAGTGATTTCATAAAAGAAATATTGAAGTGTTCTATGCTTCATAATATTTAGCTGTAGTTTGGCATGATTGAACAGCAGAAGAGTAAATGTACTGTTATTTTAATAGGTGCTTTGAATAAAATTTAACTTTCAACTTTATTTAAGCTTTATTTAACTTTCAACTTTAGCTTACATGTAAGTGGTGTTGGGGGAAATCTATTGTACTCCTTGAGGTGAATTAAACACACACTTGTGCTAAAAAAATAAAATAATTAATGAATGATGCATTGGACAGTCCTAGTGCCATAAGAGAAAGGTAAAAAGATTATCCAAATTCTTCCAGATCCTGGGTTTACTGTAAAAAGAAGCAAGGTCAAGGGACCTACACGAGAGATCCAGTGCCTGCGAATTAGACAGCAAGATGGACGTTGCCTGATCCCAAAGGACATGATTAATAAAATAACAGCTATGGCCCCATCAACTAACAAAAAGGACGCTCAAACATTTGTAGGGACTGCTTTGTTTCTGGAGGATGCATATTCCTGATTACAGTCATATTGTGAAACCTTAATGAGGTGATCCGAAAGAAGAGCGACTTTAAATGGGGTCCTGACCAACAGAAAGCTTTTGAGCACATTAAAAAGGAGATTGTGCAGGCAATGGCCCTTGGACCAGTTTGAACAGGGACAGACATCAAAAATGTGCTCTACACTGGGTACAACGGTCATAATTGGAGCCTCTGGCAGAAAGCACCAGGGGAGACTCAACGCCAACCCCTGGGATTCTGGAGCCGGAGCTACAGAGGTTCCGAGGC